GAGAGAGACTTTTTTAATATTTATTTTTCAGTTTTCGGCAGACACAACATCTTTGTTTGTATGTGGTGCTGAGGATCGAACCCGGGCCACACGCATGCCAGGCGAGCGTGCTACCGCTTGAGCCACATCCCCAGCCCCCCAATAAGCCTTCTTGAAGGTGAGCCCTTGAAGTCATAGAGTCATACTTCACTGAGTTTATTGTCCCAAGCACCCTTGGATCCCAGGGGAGGCAACTGGACTCCTCCTCTGGGTGTGGGCAGCGGCAAGGCTACCTTGAAGAACATGTGGGGCAGGAAGGGACTGTGGCAGTGTCCCCATGGGCAGGGGAACATCCTATGGGTATGCCTGGGTAGAGGCAGAAGCAATCTCAGGCCACAGGTCTGTGCCCAGGTCAGGACAACAATATCAGACCTGGACCCAGCTGGGAATAGAGCTGTCAGCCCTGCCCCTCTAGTGCGTCTTCTCTTGAGACTGGCCATCTTGCTTTGTGTCCATCCTGTGGTCCGTGAGACAGAGTCTGCCAATCGGGATTCAACCAGGGAGGCAGAGGTACACGGCAGCCATGGAGCAAGGTTTAATGATCCGGAGTTGGACCTGGCCTTATAGAGCCATGGTGCTCAGCTGTCTGAAGGAGGCTACTAGTTGGGCCTGGGGATAGTAGAACAGGTGGTCAGGAAGAAGAGCGGCAAGAAGTAGGAGAGGGACCTCATCAGGACATGCAGGAATCCGAGTGGACCTGCTGGAGCTCATGTGTGTCTCTTTCCACGCTGGACTGTGTTGGGTGCTATCACCCACTCCTGGCCCATGTCTGCCTAGAACTTGTGCTTGTAGCTTTGTTTGGACAAGGGCTCTATGTAGCCATGACCCGTGGCAATTACTACTCCACACTGAATAGGGTGAGCCTAGACTCCACGACCTTCATCGCGAGACAGAAACGCAGGAAAGGCAGCCCTGAGAGCAGAGGCAGAGACTGGAATGATGGGGCCACCTCTGAGGATGCCTGGAGCCCCCGGGGCTGGGAGCTGGGAGGAGCGGGAAGGGGGCTTCTGAGGGAGCGTGGCCCTGCCACGCCTTGGTTTTGGACTCGTGGTCCCCAGAGCTGTGTGAAAATAAATGTCTGTTGTTTAAGTCCCACCTGGGGGTTGGGATGACATGTTTGGGCTGCCCCAGGAAACCAGGGTGCATCCAGACCTAGGGAGAGGGGACACTGGGCGAGTGTTGTGGGATGTGGGGCTTGGTCCGGTGCTGGCCGCTGGAGGGAGAGCTGGGGAGATGGCCCAGCTCAGCTGAGGGAGGACGGAAGTTGTCTCCACCGACTGTCCCTGGAGGGTGGGGAGAGCAGGGTGCAGGGGAGGAGGCCTGGAGCCACGTCCCCAGGAGAGCCTTGAGGGAAGGGGAGGTTTGGGAAGCGGCAGCTGGGTCTAGGGCCACGGGAGCCAGAGTGACCGTGGCATGTCACTCCAGACACTGTGGACTGGGTAGTCCTGTTTCAGTCTTGCACTAGAACTGGAACCTAAAGGTGAGGAGGACCTGAATGTCTAGAGGAGCCCAGCGGGAGCAGATGGCAGCCAAGTTTTCCACCCTCCACGGCCACCACGTGTGACATTAATTTTCAGGCCTAGCTCCTCCTTTCTTCTCTGTGTCCGGGGAGCCCTGATGCCCATGGACCCTCCAGGATCCCTAACCCTGCTGTGCTCCTTCCCTGGCAGCCCATGGTGACCTCAGTCTCACTTCCTTCTTAGTCTAACTGGAATCCCAAGCGGCTCTGTGCACCGTGGCCTGGACAGGGCCATGCGTGGGGAGGCACTGCCACGGCGTGTGGACTGCAGCACCAGCCACCCACTGTGACCATGGCTAGCACAGACCAGAATTCCCCAGAAGTCCCTAAGCCAGGCTCAGAGCTCCAAGACCCTGCAGTCCAACCACAGGCCTGACCGTGTAGCTGCTGCTCTAAGCAGAGCTTCCGTGCCTGGGTTCGGGCTAAAAGACATGCAAATGTCCCCTTAGAGCACAGGGGGTGGGGCAGCTCTTAGGGAGAAACCTCCAGGTCCTCTGAGGAGACCAATGATAGAAGAGCTGTCCAAAACCCCCAGGGGAGGGCCACTCCACCGGGAGTACCAAGCTCCGTGGCACTGTGGCCGGCGTGCGCGTGAAACGGCAACTCCCGTCCGGGTCCTGGATCTGGAAACCCACGTGTGGCTGGGAGCCCAAGCCAAGGAACAGAACCACTATCTAAGACCTCTAATCACTGAGGAGAAGGAAAAAGCACAAAGACGGACCCGGTGCTGTCCCTGGGGCAGGCACGATGGGGCTGCAGGACACTGCCCAGGCTCCGAGGAGCACCCTACACAGCACCCCCAACGGGCACAGGGGGCCCGCGGGACTGTGTGCCCGCATGGAAACATTTCCAATCTTCCTCTCCAGCCCTGGGTGCCAACCTCAGGGAGCCTGTCCCACTCCCAGGATGGTGCAGAACCGTTTGTGGTAGGTGACAGGAGCTGCCGCGAGGCGGCAGCACAGTCTCATGCAGCACAACCACAGGCGGCCGCGGCTGGGTTCGCCCGCGGCAATGGCTCACGTCACCCAGGTCCAGAGGCTCCCTAGTTCACGAGGGTCATCAGGGGACCAGGACCCTTGTGCACTTCTGAAATTGTTCCCCTGGGCCCGGGAACCCCCAAACCAGAAAGCGCCTCTCACTCCCGGGATGGCGCGGAATCAGCCGTGGTTGGGACAACCGAAGTCGCCGCGAGGTGGCAGCGCAGTCCCACACATTGCAGCCCCAAGACCAGGCAGCCGAGACTGGGGTTCACGCGCGGCAATGTCGGGGGCACCCCACCTGGTGCCGCAGAGGTTCACCAGGGTTTTAAGGGGACAGAATGCCAGGGAAACCACTCAGGTGTACAGCTCAGGCCATATTCACAGGTCCACAGCCACGTTCTCTCCTTGACACATCAGAGCCACGCGTGGATCTAAAGTCAGATCTACCAGGTGAGGTGATCGTGGCACGT